CTCTTTCTTTTTTTCTGTTTCCTCCTTTCTTTCTTTCTTTGCTTCTTTCTTTCTTTCCTCCTTTCCTTCTTTTCTCCTTCCTTTCTTTCCTCTTTCCTTTCTTTCTTCTTTCCTTTCTCTCTTTCTTCCTTTCTTTCTATCTCTCTTTCTCTCTCCTTCCTTTCTTTCCTCCTTCCTTTCCTCCCTTCCTTTTTCCTTTCCTTTTCTTTCTTTCTTTCTTTCTTTCTTTCTTTCTTTCTTTCTTTCTTTCTTTCTTTCTTTCTTTCTTTCTTTCTTTCTTTCTTTCTTCATTCTGGGGCTTGAACTCTGGACCCAGGCACTTTTGCTCAAGGCTAGCTCTCTACCACTTGAGCCGCAGCACCAATTCTGAGTTTTCTGGGTAGTTTATTGGAGTTAAGTCTCGTGGACTTTCTTGCAAGGCTGGCTTCAGATAGTAATCTTTAAATCTCATTCTCTTGGGAAGTTAGGCTTACGGACATGAGCCACACATGCCTGGCTACTTTTATTATTGTCTAATATAATCTTGCCCATTAAATCTATATATAGTAGGTTGATATAATCCACATTTTACAGGCTTATGGAAGAATATATCTGTCTAGAAGTATAAAATAAAAGAACTGATTTTTTTTAAATCTGTGTTTAATACACCAAGCCTCTTAATTTGAAACTATAAAGTTTTGACATATATAAATTGTGTGTAAGTGTGTGTGATCAATCAATGCCATGCCCCAACTTTAAAATTGCAAAATTTTATCTAAGCATTTAAGGGCTGATATCTCATTTTCTGGGCAAGTATCAAATCATCCTAAGAAATTTGAATGGCATGCTAGTTAATTAAATCATTACTTTAACTTAGAATGCCATTGAACCCTGGTTTGCCCTGTACCTAGACACCCAGTCTTACATAAACTACATGGCCAGAGGACACTGAGTCTGTTGCATTACCTCATGTTTTCAGAGTTTCCAGAATTGCATTGCAATGGTTGTCAAGCTACTCCTCCCTGAGGATCTCACCTATAATAGCCTTACAATGTCTTCCAATGGAATGTCCCAACTGCAACTACAGCCACTTTAATACATTCTTTGCATAAGCCTATACTCAGAATGTACATGGAATGATTAGAAAGCCACACGTATGTTCTCCTTGAGTATGGTCTCCTTGAAGAGAATTCCTTTTTTATGGGGGGAGGGATTTGGTCATGGGGCTTGAACTCTGGGCCTGGGTGTTGTCCCTCAGCTCTTCAGCTCAAGGCAAGTGCTCTACCGCTTGAGCCACTGTACCACTTCTGGTTTTCTGGTGATTAATTGGAGATAAGAGTCTCACAGACTTTCCTGCCTGGGCTGGCTTTGAACCGTGATCCTCAGGTCTCAGCCTCCTGAGTAGCTAGGATTACAGGCATGAGCCACCAGCGTCTAGGTTGCAGTGAATTTCTTAGTGGACATTTGTATGTCCAAAATTGGAAGTTCTTTCCCAGAACTCAATTCATTTTTTTTCAAAATGACTATATGAGTATTGATACTAAAATGTCGAAAATGAACTTTACAACTTTGGTGGGGGGGGAGGAGGGTTGGATGGAGGGAGGTGGGGAAGGATGGGATAGGAAGGGGAAACAAAGGAGGAGGCTACAATGCTTGATAAGAAATGTACTCACTATCTTGCCCATGTAATTGTAACCTCTCTGTACAGTATTTTCACAATTAAAAAAAAGAAAACACCCAAGACAACATTTCTTTCTCATCATTAAAAGAAATAGGTTCTCAATTCCAATTCAGTGTCTAATTGCTGCTATATTCAACTGCAATTATATACAAATGCTACAAATAAAGTTCAAAAAACAAAAAAATAAATGAAATAGCATTTTGCTTTGTGTCTTACACTCCCTGAGAAATTGAAAAACATAGGCGACTGCCTCCAATAACTGCTTTATCATGGAAGTCAGATCTTAGAACAGTGTTGGTTTTAAAAAGTATAACCATGAAGCAGAAAATTGATATCTTGTAGCACAGATTTGGAGGACAGTCATCTATTTTCTAGACCTGATTTTGCATCAAGAGTCAGGACGCTTGTTTACATATAGACACTTTCCCTGGGTGTGTTCCCAGCACTTTGGGCAGCCTCAGACACCTCAGGAACTTCTCCTATTGATGCTGCGCTCACCAACCTTCAGATCTATCTTATATGTTGTTTTAAAAAGAACCTTGCAACTGACTCTCTCTAAGTCCTCGTAAGTTATTTTATTTCACTGAGTCATAGTTTCTGCTCTTCTCAAAAGTAGCTCTTGCCTGTAATCCTAGCTACCTAGTGGCTGAGATAAGAGGATCCTAATTCAAAGCCAGTTTATGTAGGAAAGTTCTGAAAACTCTTTTCCCCAGTTAACCAGCAAAACGTTGAAAGTAGAGACTTGTCTTGAGAAAAAAAAAATAATGCTAAGGAAAAGTCTAAAGCCCTGCATTCAAGCCCCAGTTCTGGCACAGGAAAAAAAAAGTAGGCTAAACTTAAGTATCTGAACAGTGGATTTAATGAGCAAAACGATGGATGTAAAGCACTGAACACCAACATTCCTAGCTCACTGCAGGCATTTTAATAACTACTGCCTTCCTTCCCACCTCTTGGATTTGGGTTCCAGTTCTGAACCAGACACCACAATTACCCAAGCTTCTCACCTGCTCACCTGGCAAGACAGCACAGAGGGCAACTGGGGGACTTGGGTCAAAATCCAGACAGGATTGGCCTGTTATGTGTCATCTCAGGTTGTGCCAAGACTTGGTAGCTCATAAACTCTCAGGGTCAACAGGGAAGATTTAAGGAAAACTCATTGTCTCACAGAGTCATGTTTCTCCTATTTTCAAGAAAGGATGTTTACTCTGCTTCGTTTTCACCCATCATGCAATGACACTGGACCAAATTGCCTAGGTGATGTCATTCAGGATTGTGCTCAAAAACCCATCTGAACATGAATGAAAATGTTTGATTTAAGACAAGGGTTCCTAACATAACCGCAGAACTCAAGATAAACAGATCTTCTCCTCTTTTGAGAACAATCATAAATTAGACAGGAAAATTCAGCTCCCAAGTTTTAATTAGTCAGAAAGCTAATTCCCTGTACATGATATTCAGTAGGATAACCGTCAAGGTCAACCCAGATGCGAACTTTCAGTGTAGCATTCCCTTTCTGTGAGAATAAGAGTCAGCTGCTCAAGCTCTGAAGCAAGAACATCAATATCAACACATATAATCTATAAATAATCAGACAATTATGTGTGTAGCTACTTAAATCTAGATGGACTGAGGAGAGAGAGTACAACCTCTTCCCTGAAATTCTAAGTGCATATAAATTCAACAAGAAGCAATAACCTCTTTGAGAAAAGTATTTCTCTATAATCTTTTATGTGTGTGGGGGGGGGGAGGAGCAATTTCAGAAAAAACAAATAGCCTTGCCTTTCCCACCACAGATGCTTTGGAATTAACCAATCGGAGCTGCATACCTTAATAGAGTATAGAGATATGACACAGAACTTCAAACAGGAACTTTCCTAGTGGCAGAGAAATATCTAAACAGACTGGGAAAACAGAAACTGACCTAGCTCATTTGGAACTGGGCTTGGCAGCTGATGAAATAGGTGAACTATAATTAAGTAATGCAATAAAGGAGTTAAGCACTTTCATGACAACAAAAACACAACACACACACACACACACACACACACACACACACACACACACACACTAGGTGAGTAGTAACCAGGTTATTCATAGATTCTTCTTGTCTCAAATTAGAATGTTCAAAGAGATACTCAGAACAGACACTTGCATTGTTCAACACCACTTTACTGGTAGGAGTGGGGAAAAACACCATGCCATTCTGACCTCTAGGTTAATTTGGAACTCTAGGAAGACTATTATCTTTGTAATTTCATTCTTTCTCATAGAAATCTCAAGAGGAAGACAGCAAAGCCACATTATCTACTGAGAATCTTCTAGCTAGTAGAAACTACAGATCTGGTTTCTACTTAGTTCCTGAACTTGAACACAACTATGCATAGTATTCGTTTTTATTAAGTCTCCCAACCCCTGAGATAAGGCATGTGGAAACAATAATTTAACTGTCACATCCTGCAAAGATGTTAGTGTGTGGGAAATTCACCTCCTTGCAATTTTGGGTTGAATATGATCCTGTACCTTTCTTATTAAAATCTTCATACATTGCAAGATTTCCTAGCCACGTCCAAATTCTTGCATTTTAAGAAATCAGAAATGGAGATTTAGAATAGCTAGAAAGACTCTAGATAGGATTACTCGCCCTCACACAAACTTGTTTAGAATTAAATCATCTCAAACAGGAAGACTGGCAATATAATAAATCTCCATACAGCACAGGATTTGAGGTGCAATTATCACCTGATTTAACATCTAGAGGCACAGGTGGCTGGGAAAAACTAAGCCCCTTACAGGCTCAAGATACTCACAAAAGGGCATTTTAATTCTGTGGCATCTATTAGCTACAGCCAAACTGGCACAGGTACATATCAGTGCCCCCGCCCCAGGATGTTAAACAGAGCCAGCTTTTATAACACCAGGTGCAAGGCTGGGAGGAAAAGGGTTTCTTTTCCAGAGTTTTCTTACTTGCAGGTCTAGTCTCTCCCACTCTAACAGAGAAAGCAAAATACCAAGTATCAACAGTGCCTTCTGCTCTTTGGGATTTCTAGGAATGGCAACATTTGCAAAGTGAAAAAAAAATACAAAGGTTTTTCAACTTTTTATTCTGCTTAGTAAGAAGGCACGTTAATCAAGTACAACATAGATGCCCCAAATAAGTTTATCCATGACAGGGGTTTTTAACATTCATTTCACCCACTCCTTGCCAGAAGGACAGCTAGATTCACAGAGGAGATCACTATGGGAGTGTGAGGACAAATCCACACTTGTCCTATGACAAATTCACCCGGGCTACTCTGAGCACTCTTTGGGAGTGGTGAAGGGGACACGGGCAAGGGCTTACCCAGGCAGAGCAGCAGGGCCTGGACCAGACTGGAGGGATGCGTCTCCATCCTCCTTCCTGCCGGGATCTCCGTGGTGGCGGCGGCGCTAGAAGTGCAGGTGGGCTGGCGGCGGGCAGCAGTGCAGGGGCACCGGGGTCCAGCAATCAGCTGGGCTGTGTCTGCAGCACGCTGGGAACAGAGCCTGGAGTCGTGGCTACTAGGTCTCCCCGCCAAGACCCGCGGTCACCGAGCCTGCCGGACAAGTGAGGTCCACTACCCATCTCGATGAGCTTTTATAAGTCTGGGGAGGTGCTTGGGGCCGGCAGGGCTGACTAGCGGGGTGAGGTACAAATGTCCAGAGTTTCATAATCTCTGCCCCCGGGGGAGGAGGAGTGCTGGCTGGAGAATTGTCCAGCTGTCATGCCTCTCTCTCCCAGCACCTGAGAGGAGTGTTTGAGGAATGAAAAAACGTCCTTCTGGTGAGCCAGGGACTACTCCCCAAACTTTTCCATCCTTGCTGGCTGGTTGGGCACTCATCGCGGGAGGAGGTGGGGAGCACAGACCAGATGGGTTGGTTTGCTTCCTGGGGTCACCTGTCGGGTAGTGGGTGGCTTTGGTTGCTGTAAGTGACAGGCATAACTTTGCATCAAAGTCATCAAAGTCAGTTTTCCAGCCAGGCATCATGGTGTGTGTGTGTGTGTGTGTGTGTGTGTGAGAGAGAGAGAGAGAGAGAGAGAGGGACAGAGACAGAGAGACAGAGAGACAGAGAGAGAGAGAGACAGAGAGAGAGAGATTGCTGACTCCAGTCAGAATAAGTTCCCCATTCAGAAATGGCTAATGAGCTCTCTCCTCCGTATTCAAACACCTTTCCAGAACTACTTCTCACATCTTCCCCTCCTTCCCTAAACCCACCCTCTGCTTTCAACGTAATTCAGGCTATTAGCATCCATGAGTCTACTAAATTTGAAGACACGTCTTATTTTTTTAATTCTGTTTTGTTATCACTGTTCTTTTAGAATGGATGTCCCCAATTACCACCTTCATCTTGTTGTTCCCCCGTATAAAAATCTTTCAATAATTTTGCACTGCCTTTTTGGGCATGATAAGCCACCGCTGAGAATCCAGTGCATCCTATTTCCTTAGTGCTCAATCGTTTGTCAGATGAATATCCAGGCTGCAGGCAGACCAGAACTCCCAAACAGACCTTTGCTGCTTCCTTCTTTCCTGCCTGTACTAAGGAAGACACATTTAGGGGGAATGGCTGCCCTTTGTGGAGAATGGACAAATTCAGTAGAACTTCCATGGTTCTGTTCAGAACCTAGAATTCTCAAACCTACCAAGATGGCTTTTCATTCTGATCTATAGCTATTTTTTCTCCTTGGTTTAACTTCTTCCTAGATTCAGAGAGTTCTAGATCTGGAACTGTTCACCAAGTATAATGACTTGATGTTTAAAAATTAAATACACTTTAATTGAATTTATTTTTATTATCTTTAGTTGCATGAAGGGGTTTCAAGTCATCATGTCATTTTATGAGTACCAGGTATCTTGATCAGTGTCAGCCTTTCCATCCACTTATCAAAACTCCTCCTGTCTAAAGTTCCATTCTCACATATGTACATTGAGTATTATGATGAATTCACCCACCATTTCTCTGTCCAGTCATTCTTGCTCGCTCATACTCCTTGTATACATGTAAGTCTCACCTTCTGATCTTTGTGTTATTTTCAGTGGGATTCCCCCTGGAGAGCCTAAAAATGAGGAGTAGGTTTAATACTGCACAGCTTTGACTAGAAAGTAGAACTTGATCAATGTTAACTCTATACCATTTTATTTTTAATTTCAGCTATTGTACTTGTACTACTACGAGTAGTAATTGACAATGTCTACCTCCCTTAAGCCAAGGACTTTTTGTATATTTGTCTTGTTTTGTTTGTTTTCAGTACTAGAAATTGATAGTTGTGCCTCATCCATGATAGAAAAATGTGCTGGTCTTTTTGTTGTTATTTTGGAGACAGTTTGGTTAACTTTTATGCCAGGCTGGCTTCAATTTCTGGGTACTCCTGGATTTTTGTTTGTTTGTTCTATTTTTACCTCCCAAGTGTTTGGGATTACAGGATGACAGGTGTATGCCACCATGACTAGCTTCAATATATTTTAATGACCAGAATCTCTTGTTGGGAATTAATACTTCATGCTTCTTTCAGTGGTCAAGATTTAGAATGTGTATGTGAGTCCTTGAACAACTTATTTAATTTCTTCCTGTTTACTTGTATGTAAATTAGGGATAATAGTATTTCACTCCTAGGAAGACAATGTATCACTTAGCACAATACCTAGTAAAGCTAGAGCTCCCTAAAAGTAACTACTAAACTCAGGACTTTGGTGCATCATAGGTGGACAATAAAGTAAATAATATAAAGAATAAATGATAAAAAAAGTTAATCGATGAACATTAAGATAGATGAAGGCTGGGTTCTTAAGTCTAGCTTCAAACCTGTCAAGAAAACCCCACAGTAAGTGAAGTTCACTTACCCGTTCAAAGAAGAATGGAGTCAAGAAAAATGACATTGGTGTGGAATATTTTTAATGAATAATTTATAGGAATTTTTCATAAATTAGAATTAGAAAAGAGACTTTGCAAAATAGTTTTTACCTTACACAATAGATCTGGGGAAAAAATAGCTCAGTTGTCTGGACAACAAAAGCATAATTCAAAAGAATGAGGTGCCAACTGGAATCATTTCCTGATTCTGCCTAGCGACACCTTCAGGTATCAGCTTGAAGCTACAGGAAGAAGAATTCATTAGTCCCAATTTCATCAAATAGTGTTGTGTCTTATGCTCAGAAGAAAGATGGGGGATTTTTTGAGGAAAAATGGGGTCATGATAAGAGTTGGCAACAGCCAAGTCTACAGCATTGTTATGATGCAAAGAAGGATTTTTTTTTTCATTTGCTTGCTGGTGACTACAAGCATGAGCCATTACCAGTGTGAAAAAAATCCTCACGCGTGCCTCAAAATTTTCCACAGCACTATGCTCTTCAACAAGATGATTTTTAACATAGTATGAAGAAATCTTTTCTTTATTGGTTCTATGTTTACTCAATTTTCTAGCCATTACTTTTCAAGAATGACTCCACCATGACACATCAGGGAAGATGTGCCACTGCCTCCGCGAAATAGTATTCCTTTTTTTTTTAATAATTGGTAACAATTTTCATTAAGTTCATTTAAATGGACATATTACATAGTATGAAGTATAATCATATTTTCTCTTAAAGGCACAAAACACATTTGAAGATAGACTAGACTAGACTAGTGGAGGAAGAAGATAATCAGGTCATAGAGAATTTTCCATTTAAGAAATGACTTCAAAGCATCAACCAGATCAGCATTCTCAGTTAGACAGGTATTTGTATTTCTAAAGCTAAATATAAATTTAAATATAATCTACAGACTGACTATAATTATATAATACTATTAAAATACATTGTGTCTATTGTGATTAATAAAATGTGTTTATTGATATGGTATTGATGATGGCTTCCTAGCATGTGTTTTAAAATGGGACTTAACAAACATAAGGACACTATTGGACTAGCTCTGAAAGTAATTGTTTTATGTTAAAAAGTGCTCTCATATACAGGAAGTGCTAGGCCAAGAGAATCCATATACAGGACCTGCACTAAACTCCATTGCTAACAAGTAGAGCAAGCTATAAAGCACTAACTCTGTCCATAGACCCAGCATTTCCCAACAGACAGGGACTTATAAAACCGTTGTATTCTTCCATTTCCTGCTTTTTGTTCAAATTAGCATTTCATCTGACCCAAACTGGCATTTGTTTATTATAATAGCATCGCTGAAAAATAGCATCGCTCTTTTAGTGAATTAGTTCTTATGTAACACCAAATGTTTTAAGTCATTTATTAGTTAATTGTTAGCAATAGTCATTTAGACAAAATGGTGTTGGGTTGCTTTTCAAATAATTAAAGTAGTCGGGCACTGGTGGCTAACACTTGTAATCCTAGCTACCCAGGAGACTGAAATCTGAGGATCGTGGTTCAAAGCAACTTCAGCCAGGCAAGGCTTGTAAGACTCTCATCTCCAATAAACTGCTCAGAAAATTCCAGAAATGGTGCCATGGCTCAAGTAGTAGAATGCTAGCCTTGAGCACAAAGAAGCTCAGGGACAGCGCCAAGGCCCTGAGTTCAAGCTCCAGGAACGGCAAAATAATTAAAGTATCTGTAGAACAGGTGCTTGCTATGCTGGAGACACTAAATACAATTTGAGCACACAAAAAGACAAACATAAATAAAGCAAGCCATTGAAAAATATAGGAAAGTGTTCAATAAAGGCTGTTAAACTTAATATTCAAAACATGAGACCTTAAAAATGGATTCTTTACTAGTAAAATTATTGGGAAAGTTTATAGTCTAAATGTATCCTCATGTTGACCCTCTACGGTCTTTTTGGCAAGCTCTGCCTGAGTGAAGAACTTATGTCTTCAATAATTTTTAATATATAATAACTGAAAATGATGTATTATGAAAATAAAAATAAAGCACAAGTATCCAAGCAAAATTCTGGATACTGTATTTTCTCATATTTTTTTGGGACAGAAGAGACTTTCGGATTTTAACCTATAGTCTACATTTCTATCTGTACTCAACAACGCTAGCTAAGTAAATCTGTTAGCAACTATTTGTTAACTTATCAAGTATTTGTTGAATGTCTCTGTAATAGTATGGTTAAATAGATCCAATCTTCAACCCTCTTCTCCACCAAAAAGAAAAAAGAAAACCTTTCAATCAAATCAGAAACAAAGACAAATACAGAGCATAGTGAATGGGATGGTTCTTTTCTGCATTTAAATAGCCTGCATTACAGATTGAGGGAGGTATTTTTCCTTTGAACTAATCCATTATTAAATTGCTTTACGAACTCCAAAAGGAAATTTCTCTCATCTTTCTTTCAGCACATAATTTAAAGAGGTAGAAGAATATCAAAGCTGAGCACATTTCGAAGTTCATTGAATAGTAAAAGATTTTTCTCACTGATTAATCTGATAACTTGAAGGATATTATGAAATTAAAATGGG